GTTTTAGGGTTTAGAGTTCAGGTTTTTAGGGTTTGGAGTTGAGGTTGTAGGGTTTAGAGTTTAGGTTTCAGGGTTGAGAGTTTAGGTTTGAGGGCTTAGAGTTGAGCTTTTAGGGTTTGGGGTTTAGGGTAACAGTAGGGTGTCGAGTTCAGCGTGGAGGGTGTAGGGTTGAGGGTTGCGAGGTTTGCGGGGAATGGGGTCTAGAGTTCAGGGTTCAGGGGGTGGGGGTTAAGGATTAATGTACGGGTTCGGGGTTGTGGGATTTGGTTTGTGCCAACAAGTCAGGACTTTACTCGTAGGCTCTTGCAAATGCGGACTGGAGAACGACAGCACACCGGCACCGACAATAGCGACCATACCAACGCCAACCACCCAAGCCCACACAGATACCGACACCGGCACCGACACCAAGACCAACACGGACACCAGCGCCGACACTAGTTCCAACACCGGTACCAGCACCAACGACAACAACAGCACAAACGCTAATACCAGAAGCATTACCAACAACACCAAACAGCATCACAACCATCAACAAGAACGATCAGGGTGACGACGGTGACGACGACAACGACACAGCAACGATACCGACTGTTCCAACCACAACAGCACCAGCAGTAACAAGAGCCTCTGCTACTTCCATTCTACTGCTACTGCTGCTGCTGCTACTACTGCAACTGCTACCACCACGACTACGGCTGGCCGTATTCCTTCGTTCCGAGAGTGACTGATATATGTTGGGCATGTGGGTCTAGCGACAACGTAAAGATCGAGTGTCAGGTATTGCTAGCGTTCAATGCATCCGAGGCTCGAGTGTTCTCGAAGAATATTACGAGCACGAACATTATTCCTATCATGGCAGCTAGATTGCTAGTAAGAACTTCATATTGAAGATTGAGATAACATCTATATAGGTTCTGCCAAGCAACTGCAACAGCTATGATCCCTGCCATCCCATCTGGAATCCACACTTTCATGGAATCCTACACTTGCAGTTATTATATACCAACCAATCAAACGAATCATGCTCAGTCCTCGTTCTCTGTGGGCGCAAAGAGGACTCGAGGTTGCAAATCCACAGCTGGGCCTGAGGATCCTTCAGAGCCCTGCCGCCAAAGTGGCAGGTTTAGGGTTTAGGGTTTAGGGTTTAGGGTTTAGGGTTTATTGGCAAGCTCAACCATATGAGCACGATCGTTCCCCTTGACCTGCCGGTCCAGGTAAACGAGGCATTCCAGCAGATTGCATTTGCGGATAAGGCGGGCAGCTGGATGAGACATCCTTCCTTGCTCAGTCTTTCACATGTCTGTCAGGTCGGATGCGGTTTTCGGTTCCCCTCTTCCTAGCCGTTTTTTAGTCACAATTCCTACACCTGAGCTCTAAGCGGTATATCACTGCCCCTCGCCAGATCATCCTCAACAAGCTGGACCTGGTCACGTCTGACCAGGCCATCAGCATTAAGGCTCGGCGCGCTTGGGAGTTCGGGCATGTGGTAGTCCGATGCGAAGGACATGATACAAGTAGTATTGGGAGTGATTGGGAGTCCAACACCGAAGCTAGAACCCAAGCGCTCACAACCTACCGTGTCTGCACCGATGCCCGCTCGGCACTCCTCTTCTGCTCCTTCATTCGATCTTTTGGATGAGGAGTAACTCTTCGTCTCTTCGAGTTCAGCATTCAACGTATGGCGGCACGGCTTAGGTCTCAACCCGCTTGTGGTTTGGTGGCCTGTCGAAGTCAAACTGTTCAGGAGAAGATCAGGAACATCAACAAGTATGCCAAGATCGTGCCGGCAGTGAAAGGCCGAGTCAAGGCTGGGCGGTTATGAACTTTTGGTTAAGGGCTGTGTTGGCCTGTGACAGAATGTAGGCGTTGGCGAAGCCTTCGGTCCAGTAGTACCGTGGTGCCATAAGCGCTCACACCATTGAAGTGGGACGCAAAAGCTGTCCATCAGAATATATGTAGTTCGGAGGCAGCTATGTTCATAGGAGATACTGGATACCTCCATGGCGCTGGCAACGGAAGAGCACATGCCGACCATGTCCTCAGAGCACTGCAACTACTGTTGGAGTCTCCACATTGACGTTGTTGAGAGGGCACACGTTTCCGTGTGGCATTCTGCCATGATGGCATCATGTTATGAACATGCGATGGTGTCACAAGGTTACTGGCACTGCAAAATCACACCACCGGAGGCCCCAAACAGCTCCCACATGAAGGGAGATAAGGGGAGACAAGCATCGAACACCCCGGCATTGGCACTCCACCCACAGTACGAAATTTGGGCACTCCCCTTCAAATTAACATGCACCCTCACAGTAAACTGTTTGCGGATATACCCATGACACTTGTTTTCGTCGCAGCTTTGACTCTCCTGTAGTGCTGTGTTTCAAGCAGACTCTTCTTCCCCCGTGTTGGATCATCACAACAGCTTTCCCACGGGCACCTCGATGTATTTGCTGACCCAGATGTGCGAAGACAGCTTCCTTTCATCGTTGACGTTTCTCGTGTGTTGCAGTGGGCCTTGTAGCAGCTCTTAAACTAACGCTGATAGTAGTTTCCTATTCAAAGTATCCTATCTGCTGTTCCGTGCCCAGATGACGGAGCTTTGCAACATCCGGGCCCACGTTGCTGGTCTGCATTCGGGCGTGGGTGCAGAGTTCCTTTAAAGGGGGTTGTTCCAAATTGTGGATTTCCAGAAGTTCCAGATTCAGACCTTGTTTTCTCTGGGAGTTCCCCAGGCAGGGTTTAAGGTTTAGGGCCGTTTAGGGGTTCAGGGTTTAGGGTTTAGGGCTTTTAGGGTTTAGGGCTTAGGGAAGTGTACAGAATGGCGCGCATATGATTTGGGATTATCGTGGAACCTGCTCACCCGAGACTGAGTCATTCCCCACCAGGTCGAACGAGACAATGCCCCCCTGACAATCTTGAGCTGTGTGGCTCTGCAGCAAGCTGCATCCAAAAATAAGACTTTTTGGACTTCTAGTGCACCTGACGTCTGTCCTAGGATATCGTCAACTTCGTCGAGCAGGACATCGAGGTCGAGAAGAAGGAAATAGAGGCAGGGTGGTTAAGGATTCAGGGGTGCCTGCACCCTGCCTAAAACCCTGATGACCCTAACAAACCCAATCTCCCCAATCACCCAATGCGTCCAGATGATCAAGTCGTACAGCTGCCCATATATACCGGTCTAGGGTTTCCGCATTCTGATCCTGATCCTCAAGAGTTTCGTAGGATCCTCCGGCAAGACGCCTGGGTACTAGCCATGAACTGCTCTATCATGCAATGCGGCAAGTATCAGTATCAGGCAGCTGAGTAGCCTCTGGTAGCTACTGCTCCACTCCTCTCTGGTGGTCGTGTCTCAGTGCCGGTTCACCTCAGAACTTGTGCTTACGGTCTGTCCCTCAATCGTTGTGTCAGTTGCATATCCGGTGTTGTTCTTGCTGCTGTTGCTACTATTGTTTTGAGTGCGGTTGTGCTTCTGATTGTTTGTGGTTGTCCTTGTCGTCATCGTCGTCGCTGCTGCTGCTGCTGCTGCTGCTGCTGCTGCTGCTGCTGCTGCTGATGCTGGTGGTGGTGGTGGTGGTGCTGGTGGTGGTGGTGGTGGTGGTTGTGGTGGTGTGGTTGTTGTTGTTGCTGTGGTAGTGGTGGTTGTTGTCATTGGTTGGTTGTTGGTTGGTTGGTTGGTTGGTTGGTTGGTTGGTTGAGTGGTTGGTTGGTTGTTCTTGTTGTGGTTGTTGTTGTTGTTGTTGTTGTTGTTGTTGTGGTTGTGGTTATGGTGGTTGTGGTTATGGTGGTTGTGGTTGTGGTTGTGGTTGTGGTTGTTGTTGTTGTTGTTGTTGTTGTTGTTGGTGGTGGTGGTGGTGGTGGTGTTTGTGTTGGTGTTTGTGTTGGTGTTTGTGTTTGTGTTGGTGTTGGTGTTGTTGTTGTCGTGGTCGTCGTCGTTGTCTTGATTGTTTTTGTGGTTTTTGTCCTCGTCGTCGTCGTTGTTGCTGTTGCTGTTGCTGTTGCTTTTGGTTTCGGTGTTGGTGTTGGTGTTGCTGTTGCTGTCGGTGTTGTTGTTGTTGTTGTTGGTGGTGGTGGTGGTGGTGGTGTGGTGGTGGTGTTGTTCTTCTTCTTCTTCTCAATGCGTGTTATACGAAACTGTGCATATGTATATATACATGTACATGTGTCGTCCGCTGGCCGTCTCCCTGCTGCCATGGCTGTGGCGATGATGATGATGAGGATGACGATGAGGGTGATGTTGACGAAGAAGAGGATGGTGCTGCTTGGCCTTCGCGTGCCTGATGGTGTGGGGGCAGTATTCCGCTGGTGATGTTGATGGGGACTGGTAGCGACGGTGATGAACGTGGAGCAGAAGATGGCAGGGATGATGCCGCTGCCGATGATAATGGTGATGGTCATGATGTTGATGGTCATGATGTTGATGATCTTCCTGATGACGATGATGACGCTTGTCATCTCGAATTGATGTTGTTGAAAGTGACCTGGAGGAGACTGCGGTCAGAGGCAGTTTCGCAAGCCCGTAGGCAGCAGCAGTAAATTCGGCCAGAGCAGCTGCAAGAAGCACATCCGCGGCAGCAACGGTGTCAGCCGCAGTCGTCGTCGTCGTCGTCGTCGTCACGTCGTCAACATCGTAGTCGTTATAATTGTACCACAGCTGCCGCTGCTGCTTCTTTTTTTGCTGTTGCTGTTTTCTTGTCGTCGCAGTCTTCGTCGTTGTTTCTATTGTTCCTGTGCTGGTCGGCTTTGGCGGAGAACAGTTTTTGCTGCTAACGGTACTTTTCAGTGTCGCTCTGTGCATTTGGTTTTGTGGCTTTGCGTCGAACCTTGTCAGGAGCAAGAAGAAGGACACGGACACAGCGAGCGGCTCAGAGATGCGTGGATGAGGGCTTTCGGCTTTGGAGTGCAATTGTAGCACTGATGGCCCTTGCGGTAGATTTAGCTCACGAACATGTTTTTGTCATACAGCGTCGTAGGGTGGAGGCTCGTATTCAATCGCGCTTTGGATGTTCATGCCTGGGGCCGTAGACAGCCGCAACTGGATCGAAGCCAATCGGATAAGCAGAACAGGTCGACATGTGCAAGTCTATCACATCTACAGCCTTACGGCCGAGACTCTCAAAACCTGAATCCCGAGTGGAGCCCGCACTTGTTGCATCCGTGGAGTTTAGAGTTTAGGGTTTAGGGTTGCTCGACGTCTTAGGGCTGCAATCGCTTCTTTCATGCGCCGTGAGGGCTTCTGCCTAGCCGGAAACGCAGGAGCTCAACCGCAAAGCCCGAAGCAGCCTGTGCCTGCCCTAACCCGGACACCAAGGCAGCTTGCATTTTATTTATGGTCGCTACATATGAAGATGATGACTGTACTTAATGTACCTGCAAACATTATTCGGATGATTAGCACCCGTACAGTACACAGATTGTCAGCTTGTGAGGTGGACATGGTGGCCATGAGGCCTGGAATGCACGAGTGGGAGGGAAAGGAATAGGGAGGATATCAAGCGAGAGAGGCGAAGGCCCGTGCGGCTGCTTAAGTTGACATGTGGGAGTTTCCGAAAATAAGGGGTACCTTATTTTGGGATCCTTATATTAGGGATCCTACTATTTAGAGTACTATATTAGGGTCCCCTGTTTTCGGAAACCCCCATGTCTGGCTCTGAAGGTTCGCACGCGAAGCAGCCCCACACAGTCCTCCCCATTTACCCAAGTAACCGAACTTTTTCAGAAAGTACCCGCCGCCACTGCCATCGTGTTTATCGCTGCCATGGTTACCAAGCAAGCACTTTTGATGCGGCCATTGTCCCGGCTTGCCCTGACTCTCATATTTTGTGCCTCTTGTTGCACTACTTCTACTACTTCTGCTACTGCTACTACTACTACTACTACTACTACTACTACTCTACCACCTACTACTACTACTACTA